CCCATGCCCCCACCAGCTGCCCTCTAGACAGTGATCTTCTGGACCATCTCACCTGCCCCTCCAGAGCTGCCAAACTGTCCCCGGCTACGACTGTGACAGGCACTTCTCAGACTCGATGCAGCTAAGATCAGCTGTCCCTTTACAGCAGTGAAGCCTGGCGCCCAGGAAGCCTCCAGCCCAGGAGGGAGGGGAGGGGCCGGTCTGGTGCACTCTGACTTCTGAAGTACATTTTAAGAGGCAATGGACACTTCAGGCAGAAAACAAACCCCCAACTGTTCAAATTTAGACAGCAGCCTTGCAGCCAGGGAAAAGGGCGGGGCTCTGGGTCAGTGGGCCGGGTGTGATCCTGGCTCCTGGGGAAAGGGCGGGGCTCTGGGTCAGCGAGCCCGGGTGCGATCCTGGCCCCTGCACAGGTGAGCTGGGAGAGACCTTGTGCATTTCTCTTGGCCCCAACTTCCTTCACTCCCAAAGCAGACATGAAATGAGCCAGGTGCAGAGCCCAGGGTGTGGCTCAGCGAGAACCAATGTCCCTGTCCTTGCCCGCCTGCTGATGTGCAAATCCTGGAAGGGAACCTCAAGCCCTGGTGACAGGGGCTGGTCCCAGGCTAGAGGCAGGGTGCGGGGACGCCAACACCCCTGTTTTTATACCTGCTGGCTGCCGGACATGTGAGGCTGCGGCCCGGCCGGGAAATTAGAGATGTATGCTTAAAGACCTTCCTGCGCATGCCTGGCTTACAGCAGGTAAAGGGTCAATAGCAGTTATTGGCAGGAGCAAGAAAAAAATGAAAAGTTAATAAATTCTCCTACCAGCTCAAAGAGCAAGCACACTTTTAACAAATGGTCAGTAACTTTCCCAAAGGACACAGCCGGCACCCACTCCACTAACTGCGCTGCGGCCCGACCCCAGCCTGAGGCCTGCGGACGTGCGGCTTTGCCCTGCGCTCCGGGCCCTGGCTCCACGTCGGCGGCTGCTGGGGCTGCGCTCCCACCAGGCCGGCCATCTCTCTGAAGGAATTCCTTCCTTTCTGGGGGTGCTCTGTCGGTGACATGCGACGTGGGCTCCCCAGTCTGCCGTGTCTTCTGATTTTGTTTAGGGCATCTTTTGCAATGCGGAAATGCTCAACCTTTATGCAGCCAAATCCGATGGTTTCATTTTTTAACAGCTTCCGGCTCCCATCTTCCTGAGAAGGCTGGTCTAGGCTGAGGTTTTCTTCTCATACTGTGTGCAGGGGAAGGGGCTGCATCTCCCATGGGCCCCCGAAGCATCCAGCCTAGGGCCCCAAGGGCTCTCAGCTGTCACAAATGTCCCCGACTCTTAAAAGCTCTGAGACCCAGAGCAGGCCTGGAACACAAAGCCCGCCTTGCCCACTGCTTTCCCTCCAGGCCTTGGGGCGGGTGTCTGTGGGTGTCTGTCAGCTCCACAGCTCTGCCCAGGGTCACCGTCTCAGCTGGACCCAGAACCCAGGACCCCTCCTGGTCTCTGCCGCAGGACTCCCTGAAATTCTGTTACCAAGTTCTGGCAGGAGAGGCTAAAGGTGAGTGGTTTCTCTGCAGCTGAGCCATGAACTCGGGGTGTTGTGGGGTCGCGCATGCCAGGTCCCCAGCATAGACCGGGGCTGGAAGGGGTGCTAAGGACCTACTGGGCAGTTCCAAGAGATGCAGGTGTCGTGAGGAATAAGGCCCTTTTGTGGCCTCCATCTCCGGGGGCTTGCTTCATAACTCACTGGAATAACTCTACTCCATCAAAACTTTTTTTCCTTTTTTGAGACAGGGACTCACTCTGTTGTCCATGCTGGAATGCAGTGATGGCCCACTGCAGCCTCAACCTCCTGGGCTCAAGCGATCCTCCTGCCTTGGCCTCCTAAAGTGCTGGGCTGACAGGCATGAGCCGCTGCACCAGCCTGTTTCCCCTTAACATGAGGCATGGCCTGTGGAGGAGGGAGCAGCGGAAGCTGGCGGCACCCACTGGCTTCCGAATGACCCAACCTGCTGTGTGCCAGCCAGGCTGGGTGCAGAAGACAGCCTGTTCTGGAAGAGTCACTTCAAGCCACCTATTTTTGGTCACCATGGCCCTAAACTACAGGTTTTACTGACTTGGCCATCTGCTGACTTCATTCCTTCTCAGCCATAAATTCAATCTGGGTTTCTCTGAGCTCGACAGGAGCCCAGCCTTCCCGCCTTCCCTCCTCACCCCAGGGCAGGGCTGCCCCTAACAGCAGGCTGTGGGGTGCTGGGCCTTCCCAGGGACAGGCAGATGTGAACCTGGGTCCCCATGGCGGCTTCATTACCGAAGGTGACCCGTACCTCATGAACCGACAGCAGGAAGAAGGGAGGGAAGCAGACAGTCTCCTTATCCCCGGGCTCCCTGCACGACACGCATGGCCTGAGGCTCCCCATAGCTACAGCTAGGGCTGGCGCACTCCAGCCAAGAGTGCCCACGGCACCCACACACACAGCTGGGAGTCCCACTGCCCCCACCAGCCGCCCCCTAGACAGGGTGGGGGCTGGGCTCCGCTCAAGGGCAGACAGCCAGGACAGGGCTAGAATCACACAAAAGGCGTTCCTGGCATGACGAGGCATTTTATAACAGGGTGTTTTTGCCCTGTGGCTTCCTGGAACACAAGAGACAGTCCTGTCTGAGTGTGAGAACCAAAGCTCTTTCCAAGGCCAACGATGAGCCACTCACCATTGCCACCCCAGCCCCTCGCGCAGGTGAGAGCAACTTGTGAAACACCAAGCAGGGCGCTGGCACCACCGCCACGGGTCAGGAAGGGGCGTTCGGAGTGCCCGCAACGGTGTCCCCGCCCCCGTGCATCTAAGGCTCTCACAACCAAGCGTTTCACAGCTGATGGGAACCATCAGCCACAGGAAATGTAACATCCATGATGTCACCAGCCCAGCAGGGCAGGTGCCTCCTTCCCCGTGTTACAGAGGAGGTGAGCAAGCGGCAAAGTCAAGTCATCTGCCCAAGGTCACGGGAACTCAAGGTCTGCGGTCTCAATGTTCAACCTCCCAGGGGCACAACGGCCAGGGAATTAGGAGCAAATGATGCAACGGGAATTTTAAAAACAAACGCGTACCTGGCAGTTGTTCCTTGCTTCAAAGTCATCACTTCCTGATCTCTTCTCTTGGTTTAACTTTTCATGAGTCTCTCGGAGCAGGTAGCAAACCAGCCACTTGTACGCTGCCAGGGCGACTTCAGAACAAGAAACAAAAGAAAAAAGATCACAATCGAGAAGCCAGCGTGTGCCACGGCCCACCCCCAGGCCAGCATCCTGCAGGCACCGTGTCATCTTCATGACGAGCAAGTGTAAGGGGTGGGTCTGATTTTTACAGATGGGGAAACTGAGGCACAGGGAGGGCAGCTGCCCAGGGTCCCCTGGCTGGAGGCGCCTCCTGGCTCAGCTGCGGGGCTGTCCTGAGTTCCACACTGTTGCCTGGAGGCCACAGGGACACGGCGCCACGGCTAGAGCAGGCCCTCGAGCATGATGGCTGCACGTTCTTGCAGGCACCAGGCTGGGTCTGTGTGAAACCCGGTGCTGCCCCTGCGGTGCCAGCCAGGACTGAATGGGCAACAGGCAACTGCCCGGCAGTGGTGCCCAGTGGCGAGAGGAAGGGGTGCTTCCGTTTACCTCACCCTGCTTCGCTCTCGGACCTCAGTGGCCTGCTGGAGGTAAGGAACTGGGGGCTGACAAGGGGGTGGGGGGCACCTAATGCCTCTCCCCCTGCATGGCCCCTCATAAGGCTCAAAAGGGCAGGAGGGAGCGGATGCTGCAGACAAGGAGGCCCCGGGAAGGGGGCTGTCAGGCAGGACAGCTGGAGCCCCCTCTTCGTCCTCCCCTCCCCCTGGCAGTGGTGCCCACATCTGCAGGGCCCTCCACAGCACAGCCAGAGCTGGCCTTCCGCAGCACTCCCTATGGACCAGGCGCGGTCTCGAGACCCCACCAGGCTGTGCTGCTATCACCCCACTGATGAGGACATGGGCCCAGGGGTCCGGCACCTGGTGAACACATAGGGGAGGGGTATGGACCAGCCACGCCCAGAGGTCACAGTCACACCCACCCCTGCCCACAGACGGCCTGGAACCTGGACACAAGGCGTCTCCAGGCTGCAGGGGGCCTTCTGCCTGGCAGCCGCTCTTTCTCAGAGCTCCCAGGAAGGATAAAGGGGATCAGCCACACTGAGTCTGAGTCCAAAGGCTGAACTTGGGAGGCTTGAGATTTCCTGTCACACAGCCTAGGTCACTGGGAAGAAAATGTACAACAGTTGCAGTTCCTGCCACAGCACTCCCAGCTGCTTTCGGCTGTTACATGTGTTCACCCTCATGGCGTTAACTGAGAAGTCTGTCACGGACCAGGGCAGGCAGTTTCCCAGGCCCAGACGCCAGGCGGCTTGCTGGTCTCAGCTCCAGGGAGGGAGCGGGATGGAAAGGCAGGTGCCGCTGACTCCGCAGGCAGGGCACAGGCAGCGTTGGGCGACGCTTCCTCCATGCAGGCATCTTCGGGAGCCAACGCTTCCCTGACCAAGTCCTGCCAGGCATGGGGTGCTGAATCGTGGCCCAAACTGACCCGCAGAGCTGTGATGTGACCTTCGTTGTTAGAAGGTCTTTGCAGATGTCATGAAGTTGAGGTATTGAGGTGAGGTCACCGGGGACTCCTGGACTAGGGTGAACCCTAAATCCAATGACACACGTCCTTACAAGAGGCAGAGATGACAGAGTCACAGAGGTGGCAGCCCTGTGATGATGGAGGCAGAGACCAGCAAGATGCAGCCACAGCCAAGGAAGCCTGGAAACGCCAGGCACCTGGGCGGGAAGAGCGGGAGCCTGGGTGGGAGGAGCCCCCCCAGTGCCCCATCCTGATTAGGGTTTCTGCCTCTGCATCAAGAGAGTCACTGTCTGCTGTCTCTGGTGCCCAGGCCGTGGCCCTCTGCTGCTGGCAGGCTGCCAGAGTCATCCTGGAGCCTCACCCCACCCTTCAGGACATTACAGGAAAACTTCGGTCGATTTTGCCACCAACGCCGAGGGAAGGCCCTTGTGACCACTGCCTATTCCTGACGGCTCTGCCACGTCCCGAGCCTTCACCAGCAAGGCGGACGGTCACGAACAGCAAGGAAAGGTAGACGCTGTGCAGCTGTGCTTTCCATGACTTATTTACACAGCGACGAAACCAAGGAAACGGTCCGGGCCAGAAACCGCTTGTGCACATTCTTTCTGACCACACCAGAGGCCCCCGTGTCCCACCACGCATCAGCCATGGCTGGGCTTCCCTCCCAGCTTGTCAGGGCCGCTCCCGAACACGGCCCCAGGCGGTGTCCCTCTGCGGTGGACACCTCACTGCAGTTACCCGAACTTTCCAGTCTTTCTCCACCACCGGAATTAACCCATGAGGCTTCATGTCAATGACCAGTTAGCCCGAGCTGGGGGCTTCAAGGGAGAGGCATGCTTGGTAAACGAGTTATGTTTGCATCGCGCTTTTCCTTAAACTCTTTTAGTTCTTGGTTTTTCTTGAAAAATACATCACATCAGTCTGATGTGGTCACGTGCTGAGAAGATCCCCAAAAACCACATGAAAGCAAATGATGAAAGGTGGGTGCCATGTGTGTGATTTCCAGAGCTAACTTGGAAGTGAAAAACTATCACTGAAACGAACTAGGCCGAACACGGGCCCTGATGGACAGTGAGTTCTCTTGGTCGGAATGCGGCTGCCGGAGGCCGGAGGGCACACGCAGCATCAACCACCTCTGTCCTCAAGGCTGTCCCAGAACCCTGGGTCACCACGGCCTTTCCATGTGCCACGCACCAGACAGGCTCTCGAAGGTGCCCCCAAAGACTGTCCCTCGGTCTGCCCCCTCCCCAGCCCGGGCTCTGCCCTTAGCCCCATGGAGAGCTCTCTGCATGCACTGCCTGCCTTTCGGGTCTGTTTCCCCTCTGCGCCACCATCAGAGCACTCCTCCCCTGGGTTCTGACCCAGGCAAGCCCTGGACAGAGACCCCAGCTCCTCAGCCAGATCATGGCCTGGGTCTGACCACGCCCGCCCCTCTGGTGCTCCTGAACGGCCAGTGCTCCCCAAATGCACAATACAGGGACACTCCAAGACCCGCCTCGAGTGCCGGCTTTGTGGAAAGCATTCCTTGAGCCACCAAGGCAGACCTCGCCTGCATCTGTTGTTTCCAAGGAAGTGCGCTCCCATGCAGCAGACCCCCACTGAGGGCAACACGGGCTGACCCCTGCCAGGCGGCACAGGGCACAGCATTCCCTCCCCACCGTCTTGCAGAAGGAAAACAGACTCAGAGAGATTAAAGCCTAGTTCAAGGTCACACCAGGGGTTAGCACTGACCCAAGAGCCTGAGCTCCCACCTTCTGGGAACACTGTCTGCACCCTGAACCCCACTGCCCAGGTCAGGGAACCTCACTGCTCACCCCACGACCTCACATGAACCCCACGGTGCACTCCAGGTGACCTCACCACTCACTCCATGTGACCTCACCACTCACTCCATGTGACCCCACTGCTCACATATGACCCCAAGTAACCTTATTGCTCACCCCACGTGACCCCACTGCTCACCTCACTGTGCACTCCACGTGACCTCACCACTCATGCCATGTGACCTCACTGTTCACACACGGCCCCATGTGACCTCTGGCCCACATCCCGTGACCTAGAAGTCCACACATACACATGTCCGAGGAGTGAATGCTGCAGCTGCTTACTACGAATGCACACCAGCCAGCGAAAGGGGAACAGGGCCCACCTTAGGAAGCAACAGTGCAGGCCCCAGAGGCACAGGGCTGTCTGTGACCCTCGGCTCAGCACACGCGCCTGTGCAGACATCAGAGGAACTCAACAGAAAACCCAGCCTCCCCCACGCAAGTCAGAATCACACGACCTGAAAGACCAGCCATGGGCTTTGCAAATCCTACGCCCTTCCTCACAGGTGACCATAACCCTGGAAAAGGCCTGCGTCTCTCCAGCCCTGCAGAGCCCGAGGGCCCCACGTGGACCCTTTACCAAAGATCCACACAACGCAGCTGCAGTCAGCCTGAGATCTGGGGTCTGTGACCAAACCAAGCCGAGATGAGGGGCAGGCTGCACCCACAGGCTTCCCTGCGGCCTGAGGGAGAACGGTGGTCTCTCTCCCATGCCCCTTCCACCAAGTCAAAGCCATCTGCCTTTGTTACTCCAGAAGATGTTTCCACTTTGTTGCATCTTGCAAAAATTAGGGCAGTGGCAGGAAAACCAGATGACTTTGGTCTTTCCCCATGCTGGAAGAGACTCCAAAACTGCTTTTGCCTTCACGGTCTCAGGGGAAAGGGAGGGGAGAGCAGAGCGTGACAGGCGCACGGAGAAGCTGGCTGCACTGTACTGTGTTTTGATTTTATTAATATGAGTGATGGTTTCAGGGAAAAGGTTTTGGTTGGGTTGAAGTTACTACAAAGATTAGGTCATTTTCTAGTTCTTTCTGTAGCAACATTTGGGAAGCTTAGAAAATGACCTGCAAACACCAGAAATAGGTCATCAAATGTGCCCGTTTCCCACTGGCACCCAAAAAGGCAGGCTGAGAGCTGCAAGGCTAGTTCCTGTCAGAAGCTGTAACCCAGTGCACCACCGCGAGAGAAAGCAGTGACGCAGATGCTTCCCGATGACGATGCTGACGGCACAGGCAGGAGAAAGAGCCACTACTGTCCTGTTCTTGCCCTGTGAGCAGGGAAGCAGTCTGCAGGGCTGGAGACGGGCTTGGGCGCATGCTTGGGGGCTGCTGCCGCATCCACGAGTCAGTCCTGATGGTAGGAACATGTCCTCCACGTGTGCCTGTCCCCCGCATGGGGGAGGCCTGTGCTCCCTCCTCCCAAGGATCCAGGGGCCTCCCAGAACCCCCAAGGACCCTCACATTCTGGTCTTCTGAATGCAAAGCCAGGAGTGTCCTCCATCTCCAAATCCCAGCTCCACATGCCCAGCTGAGTGTGCAGCAGCCTGTGGACAGTTCCCGTGCAGACTCCAAGGCTGCTGAGCCCTGCTCTGGTGTCAGTGATGCACTAAGTGCTTCACACGCATGGACTCAGTCGCCTGCACAAACACCTTATGAAGGGGAGACCATCCCTATCCCCACACTGCAGATGAGGAAACCGAGGCAGGAAGGGCAAGGGACTCATGTAGGTTCCACAGCCAGCAGGAGGAGGGACCCGGATCAACCCCTGGCAGCCTGGCGGGAGCCATCATCTCACTCAGGAGGGTCGGCTGCTTTTCCACGTCTCCACGTTATGGGAGCAGTCGGTTTCCACGTGGCCCTCCAAGACAGGGCATCAAGACCCCTCTTGGCCCTTCTCTTCTGCACAAATAGGTGCTTTGGTAGCAAAGCAAAGATGCTCACCAAACACAGAGTGAGGCAAAGGCGAGACAGAGGCATGGCTGTGGCTTCAAGCTGTTCTCTGTGACACACAGTTGACAGATGGGGCTGTGGTGGGAGGAAGGCATTGGACAGGCAGGCGGCACAGAGGAAGTGGGAACAGCTCTAGCCCTGCTCTTTCTGTGAATCTCACCCAGACCGCCGGGCGGGAAGCATCTGGGAGCTGTAATGAGGGATCTTGAGCTTTGTGGTCCCAGGGGCTCAAGTTCGAATCCTCGCTCTGCCCCTGCCTGCACCCGGGCAGCCAGAGCCGAGGGAGCCCTGGAGGACACGCGTAGTTTGGCCGGGTGCTTCTGTGCTGGGGGCGCACGACAGCCCCTCACCTGTCCCAGCCACCTCTCACCTCTGTTTCCACAGAACAGACAGAGTGGCCTTTTTCCATGAGGAACATTTTAAAAAATATGAATCATCAAAACAAACAGCACACCCCAATCCATCGGGCCTCTTGTGCTCACCATTCCATCACTCACAGCAGGGGAATGAGACGCACGCTGGTGCTGAGCTCGGCACGGGCTGGGCCCTGCTGCCTCCTCCTCCTCCTGAGACACCCACTCCTCGGGCATTCCCACAGCTGCCCCGGCCTTTCACCAAGACCTCAACTCAAAGGCCAAGGCCCTGCAAGGCGGTCACCAGCCACGCTCCCCGTCACCAGCCAGGGCCACTGCCCTGCAGAATTCCCACTGCCCTAAGACTGAGGCCTTGGGATGCTGTTGTGTCTCCAGGTCTAGACTGTAAAGTCCCATGAGGGCAGGCTCGGGGTCTCAGTCACGCCGATGCTGGCCCTGGAACTGCAGAGTGAGCTTGTAATGAGCGTGTGCAGAATTAACCCGGAACTCTAGAACAGCTGCTCTCCGGAGAGGGCTCCCCCGTGGGAGCCGGTGCAGTCTACGGTGCACCTGCTTTGCTTTCGATGGGGCCAGCACGGCCGAGCGCCCCCTTCACAGCTCCCACTCCCACTTCTCTGAGCAGAGACCCCATGTGGGTAAGGCAGAGCCCATAGCAGCTCACAGACACCTGCAGGAGGCTGTCCGTGGTCAGCTCTGTGCAGGGCCCTGGGAGGAGGCCCTGGCCCAGCCACCGCACCCATGGGAGATGAGCCTGTGCCGCAGGGGCCAAGGGAAGGAAGTGCGTGAGGTACACCAGGGCGGGGGCGGGCACCTGGTGTTTGAGGAGCCGGGACGGGCTGGGGGCAGGGAAGACCGACAGGTAAGGTGGCTGGGAGGGCCCTGGGACAGCAGCAGCCGGGGCACCAGGGCGGCAGGCAGAGGCTGCTCAGCGGGCAGAGACCAGGCCTGGTGGCCTCTCACACCTTTTATACTACGGGAGGGGAAGGCAAGAGGTGAGGTGTGAAGTGGCAAGTGCGTGTCCTTCAATTCATCCGTGGAGCCGGCGCCTAACTCGGCGTCAGCTGCAGACAGACATTCCAAGAGCCAGTCCAGGACAAGCTGCACCTGGGGCCTCCTGCCACCATGGCTGCCCCAGCTGGAACTGCCAAGGGCCCCTCACTGAGGCATGGTGTGTTTCCGGTGGGAATGACGGGAAATCAGGAAGCCAGGGGGGCCCTCCACACCTGCATGTTTACCTGCGGAGTCCAAGCAGTCGGCAACGCTGGAGACCTCAAACCTCTGGTCAAGGATGCTGGGATAGCTGTCCAGAAAGTCCACCGATTTGAGCGGACTGCGGAAGCAAGCTCCATCTAGGACACACATTCCAGTGACTTTGGTGGAAGACAGGGGAACCCCAACCCACTGGGGACCCCAAGCCAGGGGCACCCCAAAGCATAGTGTCCAGAGGATCCGATGGCCACAGAACCATGAGCCAGGGCCTGTGTCTTAAGGACCCTCCCAGCCCCATCCTTCGCCTGTGCCTTGGGGAGTTGGTGAAACATTTCTTTCCTTCTGCAAACCTAGGTGCATTCACAGAACAGCTGAATCAGCAGGGCTGGGAGCACCCACTGCACCCCCCCCAGGGGTTGGGTTCCAGGGTCCCCACCAGTGGGCAGCGGAGCCTCACCCTGGACCCGGCACGCCAGGAGGCCCAGCAAATAGTTGCTTGTCTGCTGCAGCAGGACGTTGTTGTCACCTTCGTACGTGCTGTTGGGATCGTTGTCATCTCTGAGGACCCCCAAGCGGTTCACTGCAACGAAGCCACAGCAGCACCATCATTTAAGAGGCATGTCTGAGAAGCCGCCCGTCACTACGTGGGAATTTAAAAAGGCCTAAGAGGCCAGGCACGTGGCTGACACCTGTAATCCCAGTGCTTTCGGAGGCGGAGACGGGCGCATCACTTGAAGCCAGGCGTTCAAGACCAGCCTGGCCAACGTGGTGAAACCCGCCTCTATTAAAAATACAAAAATAGCTGGGTGTGGTGGCAGACGCCTGTAATCCCAGCTACTTGGAAGGCTGAGGCATGAGAATCGCTTGAGTCTGGGAGGCAGAGATTGCAGTGAGCTGAGACCACATCACCGCACTCCAGACTGGGCGACAGAATGAGACCGTGTCTCGAAAAAAAAAAAAAAAAAGCCATGAGTTTGAGACCAGGCTAGGCAACACAGTGAGGCCTATCTCTACAAAAAATGAAAAAAAAAAAAAAAAAATTAGCTGGGCATGGTGGCACACACCTGTCGTCCTAGCTACCCAGGAGGCTGAGGTGGGAGGATTGCTTAAGAGGCCAGGCTTGAGGCTGGAGTGAGCCACGGTCACGCCACTGCACTCCAGCCTGAGGGACAGAGTCAAGCCCTGAACCCAGCTTGACCAGACACAAAGCACTGTTGCCCCTGCTTCACGTCCCGGCCCCGGCTCCTCCTGACTGCTGTCAGCAAGCCCTGCACGATCACCTGGCAGAGCCTCCCCGGCACGGGGTCACTGACAGAAGGGAGCCATCTCCAGGTGCTGACTCGCCCAGGGCTGCCCTTGTTCCTTGTGTAACTGAATGAACTCTTATTTATACACAAGAAATTTCATGACAACTTTTTTTTTTAACGTTCCTACCGGTTAGCCGGATGACTTCATCTATGTTACAGGGCTTGCTTTCCAGGCCCTCACACACTTGAGCCTGCCTCCGCTGAAGGAAAGTGTTCTCTGAATGTGAGGCTGGGATGGACCCAGCAGGAAGAGGGTGGAGCTGACTTCTCACACTCACATACTGAGACTGATGTATCCGGAGGGCATGACAGGAGTCCTATTGCAGCCATGCTGCCGGTAGGTTTCTGATTAGGCTTGTGGTCACCTAGAACACCTGATCATTTTCTCCGGACTTGCTGTCAAATCGTGCCATGCACCTCCTGCCACGTAACAGGTCAGCCACTGAACAAGAGCTGGGAGACGTCTCAGCGCAAACATTTGCAATTGACTTTCTAAACCTACATGGAGCCTGGGTCATACTGGTCTCAACGCCAGCATTTGTGTACGTAATGGATCTCGATTCAGTCTTCTTTGTCGTTGGCAGTACTGCAAGATTCAATTTCCTTATTCTACTTAAAATGAGAGCAACGCTCAACTATGTATAGCACCCCGATGAGTTACAACAACGAATGAAAACCACTAAGGGCACTGAGCGGAGGACCAAGCACGCACACGAGTGACTTAAGTACAGCCATGGCTACCCACATGGCAGAAGCGACACAGACAGGGTGTGGTGGGAGCGAGGCCCACGCCAGAACAGGCGTGAGTTAGGACAGCAAGGGTGGGCGGGTGATCACTGAACGTGCGGGTGTAATTCTCCATTGCGCATCGCCAAAACTCTCACAAACTTGGCAAGGGCCTGCAGTGCTCCCAGAGGGCCAGAGTTTTGCTGACTCTGTGGCTGTTTTGAGTGTGTACATGGCCTTCTTTGAGCAACCAGTGTTTACCAATTCATTATTTAAGATCAGCACACAGGAAGTTCTGCAGGGAAGCTGCAAATGATGATGATGGTAATTAATGATAACAGCATTAGCAGATAGAAAAGTCAGTGGGCACACAATACACGCCAGATGCTGTGCTCACACTTCATACATGTTCATTCACTTACTTCTCGCAAGAACCTATGTTGTGGGTACACTATTTTCACCCCCACTTTATAAATAAGAGCACTGAGGCACAGTGAGGTTGAGCAACCTGCCAACAGTTGCCAGGCTGGTGAGACGGAGCTGGGACTCAACCCCAGGTCAGCTGGTGCCCCACCTAATCTGCACCACACAATGCTGCCTCAGTCATCTCAATGCTGACATCACTATATCTTTTTTCGTAAGTGTAAGAATGTTCTATCCGAATAAAACACAGTGCTAGTTTACTACCAAGCTATTCACCAAACAGTTAAAGTTCAAATGAGCACATCAGCTGCTCTCTGCCTGTATTCTAGCCAAAAGGCATCAGGCATCTGAAAGCAGCGATCTAGGTCAGGGGTTGGCAAACTTGCTCTGCAATGGACCAGAGAGTAAATATTTTCAGCCCTGCGAGCCACATGGTCACTGTCACAGCTGCGATTACTCAACTCTGCCCCTGCAGTGCGAAACAGCTGCAGGAAATATGCAAATGAACGGGGGGTGGCTGTGTTCCAATAAAACTTTATTTGCAAAAACAGGTGGCAGGCTGGATTTGGTCCTCAAGCCACAGCATGCCGACCCCTGGTCTAGAGTCAAACAGCAGGGCTAAGGACAGGAAACCACCATGCGCTTCTCCAAAACCTACCAGCCAGATAGCCGTGTCCCCCACACGCCTCCCGGCATTCCTGAATTCCTTGCTGGGCGGTCCACGAGGCCAGGGACTTGCCGGCCGATGCCAGAGCGTGGATCTCTCGTCCGAGCTCTGCCTTTGGGTGAGGAAATCCAACAAGAACAGATGAAAAGAGACTTTTGACACCAAAAAGTCAGAACTCAGTAATAACATCAAACAGTCATATCCCCCCTAGTCTAATACAAGACATCCCAAAAATGACAGAAGAGGAAACCTAATTGTAATTAGAAATAAAAAGGGTCTTCGTCCAAGCATGGGTACATTGTGGTATGCTCATAGCATTTCACAGCAATGAAAACAAGGAGACCACAGCTCTGCACAGCAAATAACCCTCAGGGCCCGAACACGCGTGCCAGAAGCAAACTGCAAGAGAACGTGCACCACAGCCCACTTTAAAGTTCACAAATGTAAAAATGAATGACACGCCATGGAAGTTGCAATTGTGCAGCGAAACCATGACGAGGCGCCAGGGAATCACACCCAACATTGCGGACCATGCTCCCTCCCTCCCAGGACAGGGAAGGGCCGGAAACCGTTCCCAGAAGGCTGCAAGCGCCTCGGTAACTGACGGTCTGCTCTGCATGGGTGCTCGCTGTGCCTCCCTCGGGCCTAACATGTTTTATTGAGATTCCTTTGCTGTCTATGGCCACACCACCCTGAATGTGCCTGATCTCGGAAGCTAAGCAGGGTTGGGCCTGGTTAGTACTTGGATGAGACACTGCCTGGGAATACTGGGTGCTGCAGGTTTTTTTAAGATAAAAAAAAAAAAACTTATTTTGCTTCTGCTTAATATCTAATGATGAAAACTTAAGAGACTGGGCCAGGCACAGTGGCTCACGCCTGTAATCCCAGCACTTTGGGAGGCCAAAGTAGGCGGATCACCTGAGGTCAGGAGTTCGAGACCAGCCTGACCAACATGGTGAAACCCCATTTCTACTAAAAAGACAAAATTAGCCGGGCGTGGTGGTGCACACCTGTAATCCCAGCTACTTGGGAGACTGAGGCAGGAGAATCACTTGAACCCAGGAGGTGGAGGTTGCGGTGAGCTGAGATCATGCCATTGCACTCCAGCCTGGGCAACAGGAGCAAAACTCCATCTCAAAATAAAAATAAATTAAAAAGGAAAAATAAGAGAAACACACACACACACACACACACACGGCTAAGCCAAATGACCCATTTTACGAGTGTTTTCAACTTCACATAAGGGGCTGAGTTGAGGCCCTCCTCTGCCCGGGTTAAACCACTGAGATTCAGAAAGAATGAGCCTGGTCACCCTTTACAACATTATTCACCGCAGAACAATGCGATTCGAGTGTCAGCTGGCAGGGGCTCCAGTGACTCACGTGTTAAACACAGGCTTAACCCCTTCATCACTCAGAAGCGCTCCCTCCTCAGGCTCCCAAGCCTGGGGTGTGCTCTGCCATCAATCCCGCAGGCCATCCCTCCGCTATCACCGGGCATGAATGTGGACACCAAATATTTCGAGATATGCTAATTAGATACGGGCTTTTTCCGCAGTTGTCCGTAACCCCAATCTGTGGCATTTCCTCTCTGCTTTCCAACACAGTTATTTCTATTTACATTTCACTCTTGCTCAGGAGGCAGCAGGAGGGGTGACGGAAAATCAGTTCATAACCATCTACAATGAAATTCGTTCCCCACGTCCCTTTACGCCGAGGCCAATCTCGGGATTTGCACACTTGTTTCTGGCACAAATCCTCTGACTGTCAACTCAAATCCAGTCAGCAGATTCAGACCTTTGTGCGGCTGTTTATGAAAGGCTCAGAACCATGAAATCCATTGAGGGGAGGGTAATGCGGATTCTGCAAAACCGTCATGTTCTCAAAAGGAGCCCAACAGCTGAACTCACAGACAGGAAGCAGGAGCTGCGTCAGCACATCCTTGAGCGGCAGGAGTGTGGGCATGTGCCCAGCCTGTTCAATCGTAGCGGACACCAAGAGCTCCGGGTGGGTGGGAACCACTGGAGGAATGCGTCCGAGGCTCTGTCCCCGCAAATCAAAGGACTGGCTTTGAACCGAAGGTTGAACCTGTGCTACTCCAACCGTGTGAAATGTGAACAACGCTGTGGAGGAAGCAGACACAAGCTCACCTGTCTGGCACTGCGGTCTCCCGCTGCAAGGCCTCGCTGGAACTCCACCAAGTCCAGGAAGAGCGACTTGGAGAAGTGGTCTAAGGCGTAGGCAGCCGCCAGATACGGAAGCAAGCGCCATTGCTAGAACAGACAAGACACCCGTGTGAACACATCACAGGTTCCCACGAAGGGCAGCCCATCCCAGGGACCACGAAGGCCAGTAGAGGGAGAGGGCATCAGGGCCACACACCCACTAGCTTTTGAAGGTCTCCATGTGTCTTCCCGGCACACGAGAAAAACTTCACTCTGACCCGCTTTCAACTCAGCTAGTCTGGCTTCTTGTCATAGCTTTCGCCCATGCCCTTGACGGACAACCTCAAACACAATTCCCTAAACAGCAACTACTCACAGCTGTCCCACCAAAGTCACTACAGAACAAAGCGCTGGTCTATCTGAACTAAGAAGGCCACACTGCTAGGGCTGACTGCCCAGCACAATGGTTGATAGCACGTGCCTCATGAGCCCATAAGGATGAAGCAGTCACCCTGAAACAGAGGGGAAAACTCAAGACACACAGAGCTGGCTGCACCTCGAAGGGCAGAGGGCATGTCTTTTTCATTTTTTCTGACAAAACATAGGGTCCATCTGTTGTTGGAAGGGTGTGTGGTGGATGGATGTGTTGTGGGTAGGTGGATGAGTGGGTGGTGGATGGATGCGTGGCTGGGTGGGTGGATAGATGTGTGGATGGGTGGGTGGATGTGTGGATGGGTGGATGGATGGGTGGGTGGATGCATGGATTGGTGGGTGGATGTGTGGATGGGTAGATGGATGTGTGGATGGGTGGATGGATGGATGGATGGGTGGATGGATGCATGGATGGGTGGGTGGATGGGTGGATGCGTGGATGGGTGGGTGGATGTGTGGATGGGTGGGTAGATGCGTGGATGGATGGGTGGATAGATACGTGGATAGGTGGGTGGATGCGTGGATGGATGGGTGGGTGGATGCGTGGATGGGTGGGTGGATGTGTGGATGGTGGATGGGTGGGTGGGTGGATGAATGCGTGGATGGGTGGATGGATGGATGCGTGGATGGGTAGGTGGATGGATGGATGCGTGGATGGGTGGATGGATGCGTGGATGGGTAGATGGATGGGTGGGGGGGTGGATGGATGCATCAATGGATGGGTGGGTGGCTGGGTACATGGCAGGACAAGCCTGAGAGGAACCTGAGCAAACTGCCATCACCACCACGGTCTAATGTGTCAAGAGTGCTGAGCAGACATGGCATCAGCTGCCTCCGTGCACTAACTTCGTTAATCCTCACACTGATCGTAGGAGGAAAATTTATAATCAGTTTCAACTTACAAATGAGAATATGAGAGCACAGCGACGCTAAGGGCCTTGCCTGATGGCACACAGCCAGCTGGGGGTGGACCTCGGTGGTGAGGCCAAGCATGGTGGCCCCAGTGCGCTCTCGACTGCCGAGCTGCCCCTGGCTCCCAGAGGCCCGTGCCCACACATGGGAGGGGACGGACACATATGAAGCAGGATCACACCTGCGGTCAAAGGATGTGGAAACAAACAACCGCAATTTGGTGACGATTTCCCCCAGCTTTCACCAGATCTACCTTTGTTCGTGCCTAGTGTGGCCCGGCACCTGGGCCCGGTTAGCCTGTGCACTTTAGTGGGGTTTTCCCCACTGTGAAGGAGAGTAATCCTGACCCTCTTATCTGTGAAGACCAAACCCAGAGCACAGGGCTCATGCCCTGCGAGTGCCACAGGAACGTTCATGACGACAATTCCTCCCCCTTCCACGGAACGACGTCCGTGCTCTTCCACGCCGCTGCCTGGGCTTATCTGGGTGTGGCCACAGTTGTCCCCTCTGAGGGCATGTAGTGTGCATGCCCACACCACTGTTGTAAATGCCATCGCAGTGAACAGGGCTGTTCACTCAGCTGCTGCTTCTTCAAGACCACCTCCCAGGACTCAGTTCTTAGGAATGGGATGAATGTGTCAAACAGCGTGCGCAGGCCATGGAAGGCCACTGCCTGCCAAACTCTGGTGGCCTCACCTAAACACGCAGCCACGCACAGACCCGCCTCCCAGAGCCGCCCCAGACTTGCTTCTTTCTGACCGGGCGCGGTGAGTCATGCCTGTAATTCCAGCACTTTGGGAGGCCAAGGCAGGTGGATCACTGGAGGTCGGGAGTTCAAGACCAGCCTGGTCAACATGGTGGAACCTATCTCTACTAAAAATACAAACTGTAGCCGGGCGTGGTGGCGCATGCTTATAATACCAGTAACTCAGGAGTCTGGGACACAAGAATCGCTTGAACCTGGGAGGCAGAGGTTGCAGTGGGCCAAGATCGTGCCCACTGCACTCCAGCCTGGGCGACAGAGCAAGGCTCCGTCTGGGGAAAAAAAAAAAAAAAAAGATTTGCTTCTTCCATCTTCCTTATTTTGGCTACTTTATACATACTATTTTTAAATGAAAAACCATTTACTGGAAGCCTTGCTGCCTGAGATACCGCACTCCCGCTAACTATTCATCCTGTTAATTGCCTTAAGAGCTTTGATCAACTCCCAGTAACCAAACTGCAACTCTGTAAAAGCAGCATATTTGCATATAAAATAGAGACAACGCACGGATACGTGAAAGCTCGCACCTGTGTCTGGTACTCAAGCACTGGGATTTCCTCGTCCTCTGTTGGTCCAAACTGACGCCGAGTAGCTGAGAAGCGAACTGCGATGGACACGGCCAGCTTCAAGTTAGCGACTGCCATGCCCATGATGGCGACCCGGCCCCAGGACAAGCTCCCCAGGGATGCTCCTAAGCGCTGCCTGGCGTCCTGCGGAAGGAGTGTGGATGAGGAGCGCGAGCTTGCAAATCATGGACAGGTGGGGGCACCAGGGAGGGGACACCCTGCTGCCTGGAAAAGGGACAATCCCAGCAGACGGGACGGTATGACAGTGCTGTGTAAGGGTGCCCCCTCTCTGGGGACCTGCAAACCCTCTGCCTGGAGATTCCAAGGCCCCCCTTTAACCTTGGCAAGAATCAGATGTGGCCTGGACTGCCAGAGGACAGGTGTGGAGTCCATCAAAGGCAATTATTCTCCGGGGTTTCACGGACACTTCTTGTTCCTTGTGTGCCTATGAATGGGCAGTTCCTTTACATGCGTCCAGCTGGAATCTTCTGTCCACCATCTCCTTGCAGGCACACCGGTGTCACCAGAGGCTGTTGCTAAGGGCTGTCAGGCTGCTGGGAAAGCGTCAAATCTACAGCCCTTGCCACGTGATCTGACTGTCCTTCCTGCCCTGCCTCGCCCCTTGCTGCCCCTACCGGGGCCTGCTCATCGGACCATCTGGCTCCTTCTTCCAAGGCAGCATGGTAATTGTGTGTCTGAGCCTATCAATCACACTCTCACATAGGAATCACAGTCTCGTTGTGTTAAAACCCTGTTTAAGCTGGGCACAGTGGCTCATACCTGTAATCCCAGCACTTTGGGAGGCTGAGGTGGGTGGATCATGAGACCAGCCTAGCCAACATGGTGAAATCCCATTAGCCAGGTATGGGGGTGGGTGCCTGTAATCCCAGCTACTCGGGAGACTGAGGCAGAAGAATCACTTGAACCCGGGAGGTGGAGGTTGCATTAAAAAAAAAAAATACACACACACACACACACACAGACACACAGTGATTTTCCTTTAAGAGTATAAAATATGATTTCACTGTCTTCTTGCATTCACTGCCATGTGTGAGAAATCTGAAGTTCAAGTGCTTTTTATGCCACTGGAATCAGATTTGGAAGATTCTAGAATTTTCTCTTAGAAATGCCTCAATTTCCCTACTGTGTGCCTGGGTACGTGCATAGGCATTTCCTTACTTATCTTGGTCCTCCATGAGTCCCTTCAACCAAAGGCCTTCCTCCCCTCTCATTTAGAGACGTTTCTTTCCTTTATTTCTCCAAACTTCTATTTTTTTTTTTTTTTGAGATAGAGTCTCGCTCTGTTGCCCAGGCTGGAGTGCAGTGGCGCAATCATAGCTCACTGTGGCCTGACTTCCTGGGCTCAAGCAATCTGCCCACCTTGGCCTCCCAAAGTGCTGGGACTGCAGGTGTGAGCCACCGTGCCCGGCCTTCACTTTCTTTAATTCTCTCCTTCGGCCTTTTAGAGGACAAGCTTCCCATCTCTACTTCATCCTCCTGCGACGGTCATCCCATCCACTGTGCTCTTTCTTCCAGCCACTTTATTTTCATTGATGGGGATTCACATCTCCATCTGTAAGCGGCTCCTGGTCTCCCGTTGCTGTTCCCGCTCCGCGCACTCTGTGTGTCTCCGGGAGTCCCCGCCTCGCTCCTTTTCCAGCTGTGCTCCTTGCACGTCAGAGGGTGCGTGCTGCTGGGGACTGTTCTTCCGAGGGTACGTGCCCGGGTGCGGCCCGCCTGCTGTGAGCTCACAATTCCCGAGGGCCATCAGCTACGCCCTGGACCATCGCTGCCTGGGACCATGGTCTCTCTTCCGCTCTCCACGAACTTAAGCCAGGCCTGGGTTCTGGACACCAGGGAACTGTTTGTTGCCCCCCTTTGTGGACAGTTCACTCATCTCCTGCGAGTCCTCAGGGAAGCAGCACTGGAAGTAGGCGGTCCCCTAACTGCAGCCCCCAAGGGGGGGTGGGCACCCCTGGCAGCCAGTATCAGGCGTCAGGCCTGGACTCACCCCTGGACACCAGCACTGGTGCTGCGGTTGCCCCAACAGTCCCCTTCTAGCGGGAGCACCAGAACCAGAAAAAGTGTGTCCTGGCGATGCCCGGCCATGCAGAGGTGTCGCTGCCTTAGGCACAGGGAGGGCCACAGAGCCAGGCACTGCAGGGGAAGGCGCTTGGGAAGTGCTGCACACAAATGCCCCCTCACGCCTGTACCTTAAAGGGGCTGACGTAGGTGCCCTCGGGGGTGATGTCTCCCATCCGGTTCAGGAGGCTCTGGCGAGGAACTCTGACCTTGTGGAACACAGCGAATCTGTGTGGGAAGCAGTAGGGCTTCGGTTAAACGGGCATCCTGCCTAAAGGGCGATGCCATCCCGGCAGAGGGCGTGCTAGTCGACAGGGGCGTTCAACAGGATTTCTAAAAGGATTTCGAAAAAGCAGTCTAAAGGCCGGGCGCGGTGGCTCAAGCCTGTAATCCCAGCACTTTGGGAGGCCGAGGCGGGTGGATCACGAGGTCAAGAGATCGAGACCATGCTGGTCAACATGGTGAAACCCCGTCTCTACTAAAAATACAAAAAATCAGCTGGGCATGGTGGCACGTGCCTGTAATCCCAGCTACTCAGGAGCTGAGGCAGGAGAATTGCCTGAACCCAGGAGGCGGAGGTTGCGGTGAGCCGAGATCGCGCCATTGCACTCCAGCCTGGGTAACATGAGTGAAACTCCGCCTCAAAAAAAAAAAAAAAAAAAAAAAAAGCAGTCTAGGTCAGGAACTGTGGCTCACACCCATAATCCCAACTCTTTGGAAGACCGAGGCAGGAGGATTGCTTGAGCCCAGGAGTTCGATTTCAGCCTGGGCAACACAGTGAGACCCTGTTTCTAAAAAAAAATGTAGACTAAAGAATAAATGCGTTGTGTGTACGGCAGGTTGTACTCCAGATATTTATCAGAAAAGACGGGAATTGTGTTTCCAAAGATTGGAATCTCTGATTCTCATTCTTCAATCCCAAATCAGAACCCACAATGTGATAATATCCACAAACTGAGGTTTAAAACTCTTAAGTCAAACAAAACACTGGTGTGATGGCATCGGTGCTCCCACAGAAGCAAATTCACTCCTTTTGAACAGGTGAGCGTAGGGTTACACACACGTCGTTACAGATTACGATGTATTAATAGCCAATGATATCTATTATGTTCCTCTGGTCAGGAAAACCTATTTCACAACAGTCTAGGGAATAAGGCTATGCTAGGCTATGGATATTACATAAACTGTGCAAAAAATCCCCAAAACAAACTTCAAAATGTCAACAGTTCCTATAGCAACCTACCTGATGATTCGGCTCACTTGCAATGCCTTAGAGCAGAGGCCCCAACTTTTCTGGCACCAGGGATGGGTTTATGGAAGACAATTTTCCACAAATGGGGGAAGGCGGGGGTGGTTTCAGGATGATTCACGCACATTAGATTTATTGTGCACTTTATTTCCATTATTATTACGTTGTAACATATACTGAAATAACTCTACAACTCGCCAAAATGCAGGGTCAGTGGGAGCCCTGAGCTTGTTTTCCTCCAACTAGCTGGTCCCATCTGGGGTGATGGGAGACGGGGACAGATCACCCGGCGGTAGATTCTCACAAGGGGTGCTCACATGCGCTGTTCACAACAGGGTTCACGCTCCTAAGAGGACCTAAGGCCGAGGCTGAACTGACAGGAGGCGGAGCTCAGGCGGTCCTGTAACATATTGGGAGCCGCTGCAAACGCAGAGGAAGCTCGCTGCTCACCTGATCATGCTCACTCTTGCTGAGGGTCCTAGTTCCTAACAGGCCACAGACCAGTGCCGGGGGGTTGGACAGCTCTGCCTTACAGAACAGTCTTTTACTAAGCTACAGAAAACACTATCTATAAAGAAGCATCGCACACGCCGGGAAGGGAACCAGATGCGCCTGTTCCCTCTGCAAGGGCTCTTCCTTAAGTCCTGCTCTGGGGGCCCCCACGACTCCCTGGCCACCTGGTCCCGGGCTGCCAGCTCTGCCTCAATGGCCTGATTCGCTTCCTCCCCTCCATCCCCAGCCAGGACCCAGCACCTCCACCCCTACTCAGCTCTCCTGGGCTGACTTCCTGCAACAAGCGGATTGACTCTTTCCCAACTCCACCTTTTCAGCCCATCCTCCCTGTGGGAGCAGGGCCCTTTCCCAAAGGCCTTCAGATGGGCATGGCGGTGCCCTGGGGAGGCTGTCCTATCCCTATGGCCCACAGTCTCAGCCCAATAGAGACACATGGAGAGCGTGCACTTCAGCAGCACGTGTACCACACCTGGAGCAACAGAGGCCAGCACGGCCCCTGCACGAGGGTGGCACGCAAGTTCATGATGCCTTCCACATGTTTTTGAAGTTAACTATCAGAATTTTTCAAAAGAAAAATATATTAATAAGGGACCAAAAAATGCTGAGAGTCCCTCCCAAGCTCACCTCCACCTGCCCCTAACAGCATCGCCCCCTTGCCATGAGGTGGTCCCACCTGCCCGTGTCGCCCTGCCTGCCAGGGTCACTCCTGGCCTCGTGCCCTCCCCGCCCTCACTGTTGACACCAGGCAGCCCTCGGCCCTCCTGGGAATTCTCAGCCCCACGCTGGGAAGGGTATGAGGCAGCCACCAGGGTAGGGCCCTCGACTGTCACATTCCTAGCTCCTCGGAGAGCTAGCTGCCTCTGAGCAGTCTCCCAGGGCTCACCTGCCTCTGTCTTATGTAAGGGGCCTTTGTGCATGGGGCCTGCTAGACTTAAGGGGCCGGTGCATAAGTGGAGTGGTATGAACAAGCCAAGTGGGGTCAGACGACATCCTCTGAGGCACAGGAGACAGGCCACAACCCCGACTCCCGAGATAGCCTGAGGGAGAGACACAGCCACACTCTTCACATTCCGGGGAGGAGCCAGGCCCTGGGGCTGGGTGGGGAAGGGGCTGGAGGGGGCCCCTCCCAAGCTCCTTAGGGAAGCCCCGGTGACCTGACGAGGGAGGAGCTCTCAGCCACTCTGCCAGGCCCCTGCCCACCTGCTCCAAAGCCCTAGGCCCGGTTGCCCGGCGGGTGGCAGCTTCCCCCACGCCACAGAGGCACCCTCAGAACACCCCACCTCGTAAGAAAACCGCCTCCATGCCAGCGGCCCCAACGTGCTCCGGCGTGTTACCTTAAAGCCAAGGAATGCTTTTTCAGTATGATCCAGTCACTGTCAGAGCCCTTCTTAAGGAGTGGAAATTCTTCGCCCGTTCTTACCACGTGGATATGGGACACATTGGAATATATCTAAACTTGCAAAAGCATTCCCTGAGTTTCAAAGGAAAGCAAACTTCCAAGAATTTTCATGGGATCCCTTCTGTTCCACAAAACCTATTCCAGTGGTGGTCAGATGTGGCCAACTCAAACGCAGGTCAGATCTAGTGTCCCCAGCGGGCGACATGTTCGTGTGTCACAGGCGTGTGTGTGCACAGCACAGGAGGTGTGTGTCACTGGACATGCATGTGGCACGGGAGGCCTGAGTTTGGCACAGAACCCTCCCATCCCCCCAGGAGCATCCAGACCTTGGCACGTGCCCTGCACCCTGGGCCTCCTGCTCCACATTCCAGCAGCTTACCCACTCCCTTGGGGCCTCACAGGGCCCCCTAGCCCAGCCCACCCAAGCAGGCCATTGAGATCAGCAGGCCTCCTCCCAGCCACTGCCTCAGCTCAGATCAAATGCACAGAGAAAGACCCTTCAAGTACAGCCCACCTTAACAGTCTGGCTGAAACTATCTCTTGAAAAGATCTTTACGATTTTGCTTTCAGAGCTACTTGGCTAAAATTAATCCACACAATTTACGTTTGCCTCGGATTTGTAGGCAGTCATCCCACACACTCAGGGGTTCTTGTAAAGCAAGGGAATCTAACCTACAAATTGTAACCACTTTTTTCAAGATAAACAACACTGGTAACAGAAATCACTACATTATAAGGATGATCTTGGAAAAAATGGACATCCAGGCAGAATCCAGGGGAGAAAACCCAGAGGGGACAATGGTAGCACTGTGCCCCCTGCTGGGCGCGCCGCCCAGATCTGCCAGCCCCGGACGAGAATGTGCATTTCTGGAAAGGGGCGGAGAGCAGGAGAGCAGGCCGCCAGCATCACCCCTGCTGGCTCCCATCCCAGCTGGGCCTCGGCCTTCAAAGGCTCAGGGATCAAAGAAGGGGACGTCCCACTGCATCCTGCCACCCTGCAGAAAGACGAGGGGGAAAGGCTCTGGGGGCACGGGGACCTGGCTTGACAGAGCGGCTCTGAAGCAGCGTCAAAGGGCTGTCGTCACTGTGCCAGGGCGATCCTACAGGCGACCGCATTTCTGAGTCTTAGAAGAGCCTTTACTGTATCAGTGTGAAGTATTAATCATGAATGGTTTCATCTAATGCTCCTCTGAATATTATCCCAGTAAGAGATGTGGATTCAATCTCTAGAAATGTAAGTTTATTTGGGGGAAACCAAGTGCAGGGTTTCTCTGCAATGTCCCAAAATAACGTCAAAGCTTCTCATTCATGAAACAGAATGAGCAGTGAGAAGCCTTGCTCACACCCGAGGCCACCCACTGAATGTGACAATTCACCACCACCCCCACACGCCCGGGAGGGGACGCCTGCCGGGCCTTACTGCACACACAGGACACCTCAGTAGATGGGATAAGTAACAGTGCCCGTGGCAGCAGAGCCCTGAGCGGGATCAGCCGGATCTAATGAAAGGATGCAGGTTCTCCAAGTCCAGAACACCACAGCGCCTCCCATGTCCTATTTCCTGCACGGCGCTTGAGAGCTTCTCACCCCGAGGCCAGAGCCATCCTTCTGAAACAGACCAAGCCGCATCATGGCCTCCAGATGGCTGGGGCCTTCCCACTGCCCTGAGTGCGCAGGGCCTGCACAGTGGCCCTCCATACCCGCCACACGGACACCATCCATGCCAAGGGCCTCCCAGGCACCCTGAGAAAGCAGTCATTGAAAAGAATTGACAGCCGCAGGTCAGGCGTGACGCTTCCTCCCTGCCAGCTCCACATCAACTAGCAGGTTCCTTGCATTAACATTAGCATAAGCCCGCGAGTGAGAACCAAGAATTCTGCAGGACAGGTGGAGTTAGGAGGACCTGTGCATACGTGTCTTGTTTTGCTTTTTTTTTAAATTTTTGCCTGAAATCGTAAGAATTTGCTTTTTAACAATGTACTTTTACTTTCTTCTCAAGTTGACACTGTACAAAAATCAAGATTTTCCTCTTTAGTACAGTCTGGGGTCCTGCCTTTTTTAAAGGGCAAAGCAGAGATTTAAGACACTCCCTGGGCCAGGCAGGGTGGCTCACGTCTGTAATCCCAGCACTTTGGGAGGCCGAGATGGGCGGATCATGAGGTCAGAAGTTCGAGACCAGCCCGGCCAGCATGGTGAAAGCCTGTCTCTACTAAAACTACAAAAAATTTGCCAGGCGTGGTGGCGCATGACTGTAGTCCCAGCCACTCGAGAAGCTAAGGCAGAACTGCTTGAACCCGACAGGTGGAGGCTGCAGTGAGCCGAGATGGCACCACTGCACTCCCTGCTCATCACTCTGCCTCCTTAGAAGAGACAGGCAGGAGGTTTCCCCGTGGCTGGGTGCTGGGACGGCCACTGGCCCATCTTCTGCCTCTAGAGACAACCTGCCTCCTTCACGTCCAACAACCTCGTCACCATAGTTAGTTCCAACTCCCACGAGGCAGCCTCCTCCCGCTCCAGCAGCCTGGCTACAAAGCTGCACATCTAGAAACACTCCTGAGACATCCTGCAGGCCACCAGGCTCAGGCATGGTCGCGCCTGGTCCGCCCCGCTATCTCCCAGTTATAAATCATCTTGTGGGCTCAGAGGGGCCTACGCCCTGCTGGGTCAGGCTCTCAGGGAGACGGCATTCGCAGTGAGGCACGCACCACCCGGGCCAGCGGCCAGGAAGTTCATGCCCGGGATGCTCAGGTGGGGCCTCGTGGGGCCCTGGCACAGGGACCTCCATTGTCACCTACTTTACAGATGAGCAAACGCCAAGCAAGCTGGTCAGGGTGATGCGAAGGGATGGCTGCCCAACTGTCTCATTCCAAAGCTCCTGCAGCTAATGACCTAAGGCTCCACAATCCAATCCCTCAAAGCCCTTGTGGCCTGGCCTCCCCACCCCCTGCCCATCCCAGCACAAAGCCGAGCTTCACACCTCCCACTGCTCCCTCCACCTGAAACACTGTACACTCCAAAATCACTGGCCGCTTCACCCCAGCCACACAGGCCTCCATGTGGCCATCGTGCCTTCATTAGTCTTTCCAGGCCCCTCCCCCAGCCAGGGTCTGCACGCCCCATCCAACCCTTCAGCCAGGGCTTGGCCATACCAACCCGGTGTCACATCTGTGCTGCTAAATAGATATCTGCGGGCTGATTAAACAAATAAACCAGCGGAATTCCCTTTCTAAGCACTGTAACACTAAGATTGCCCGGAGAGGAGCAAGCCCACTCCGGAAGCAGAATGCAGATATGGGTCCCTGGAGATCAGCATGGATGTATGCGAAGGCCGAGCCGGGGGAGACTCAGGATGCTGACCAGGACCTCACACAGAGGAGGCCACCCCCAGGCAGGAGACCCACCAGCTGCATTCAAGGCCTAGGTCTGATCTAAGAGTGGGGAGCCGCCTGCCAAGGTGAAGCTGGTTTCCTGAGGTCTCTGATCCAGTTGGCCTCCTAAAGTGGAGTTAGAGCAGTGCACGCACAGGGGCTAGGCGTGGGTCCCCACCGGGCAGGGGACGGCATCCATGGGCCTGGTGAGATCTCAGACATGAGTGGCAACGCAGCCTGGGCCTCGGCAGGAAACCCAGGGCTCAGCAGCCTCCATCGCTCACCCGTTATCCAGACCGTTCAGCCCGAGTTTCTTCCCTATGTCGCCAACCATCACTCCGGGCATGGGAAGAAGGGTCTTCGGGTCCCGGATCTGTACAAAGCCACAGAAAGCAGCAAACAGCAACTATTACACACAAAAATCACAACAAATGTCTTCAAACACCCACAGGCCAGGCCGTGGGCTCATGCTGGGCGGCTGTGGGTTAAACTGTCCTCCAGAAACGATACAGACAAGTCCTAAGCCCAGGACCTGGGAATGGGAGCTTATTTGGAAACAGGGCCCTTGCAGATAGAATGAAGTTCAGAGCATCGAGATGAGGGCATCCTGCATCACCCAGGTGGGCCCTAAACCCCACAGCAGGTGTCCTGTGAGAGTCAGAAGAGGAGTGGGCATGGGAAAGAGGCAGCCCATGGAGGCGGAGGCAGAGAGTGGAGCGCTGGGGCCACAGGGAGCTGGAAGAGACAGGAAGGATCCCCCTTGGAGCCTTTCGAGAATGCCGCCCTAAAGATGCCTTGATTTCAGACCCCCATTCTCCAGAGTCGGGGGAGTACATTTACGCTGTTTTGAGTGCCGCGGTTTGTGGGGCTTTGCCGCAGCAGCCGTGAGAGGCTAGCACGGGAGCTGGTGCTGCCGGGAAGACGCTGGGAATTCCACATTCACGTTTCAGACATAGGACTTCCCACTAGATTTTAATAACGTGACAAAATGGCTGTGCAAATGGGTGCAGTGGGAGAAATGGCCACGGTTATTCTGGTCAATCACCACTCCCCAGGACAAGGTCCAGCCAGCTGACAGCTGCGTACTGTGGGAACCTGAGGGAAGGACGAGGAGCTTCATCCTTGAGCAATTACAGCAGGGATTCCCAACCATGGGACGTACCACCTGCCCCTTCCTGGCCAGGGTACACAGATCGTGGTGTCTGGAGAGATTCTGGTTGTCTAAACTGCAGGGAGCTGTGGCTCAGAGTGGGCAAAGGTCAGAAGTGCTCAGCTTGGGGCACACAGGCCCCAGCCCAAACCGTCAACGGTGCCAAAGTGGAAAAGCCTGCGTTAGAGAGACGTGGAAGTGGTGCTACTGGGAATTCAGCTACGTGCATGACTTGCTAACTAGCTTCTGCGTATGTCTGTGAATTCGCCATCTAACTGAACTTTAAAATAAACATTTTATGTAAACAGCCTTGCCTTTTCCAAAATCTTTCAGCAAGGCCTAGTAAAGATTCAGACACTGTCTCAAGAGAAAAAAGAAAAGAAACCTGCAAAAGATGCCAGCCCCTCCACCCAGCAGCTCAAGTCTGGGACATGAGTCACAATCCTGACCGAATAACACCATGACGACTGCTTCCATCCCTCATCAGGCAGGAGGCCATGGCTCTGGGAGGGAGGACTCAGGGTGCCCTGAGCACTTGGCCCAATCCACAGCAGGCGTGCTGTGGTGCTCTAGCGGCGAGCGGGGCAGCACAGTCCCGCGGAGTGTTTCCAGCACAGCATACGTGGGTCTAAAGCACTGTGCTCTACAGCCCCAAAATCAGAACACCAACAGCCGCTGAATTCTAGTCCAGGCAACTCCCGCAAGAAGTCTGCTCCAGGTACAAACCTATAACCACAGAGACAAGGTACGGTGGCCTCAGGTAACTATGATCCTGTGAAACACACACATTTTGCCTTGTCCTGCTTCCCAGCACACAACTCCTGAAACCCTTGCCTCTGCAGTGGTGAGAGTCTTTTGTATGCTCGTTGAGATGGCTGGGGGCTGGGGACCTGTGGGAAGTAGAAAAGCTCCTTTTCAAAGTTTCCTTTCTTGTTAAATAATAAATCATAAGTGCGCTAATAACTCTTTGTGAAGCCCTATCCTACGTAGCTGTGAGACACGCCATGCTTACAGGCATGTAGTACATTCTATGTCCTTGTATGTTAACCAAGATACCTGTGCTGGACGTGCTCACAGGCATGTCCCAGCTCTCCACTGCTTTTACCTGTTAAGAAAAGTTTTAAGTTGTTAGCCATTTGGGTTTTAGTTTAGATTGTGAGGTCTGGCTCCAGCCAACAGAGATCAGACACAGCAGCAAGGACAACCCCGAATGTGTAAGGGACAAATTTGTGTTTTCCTTTGTTCATTGCACTCATGACATGGTGGCTAATGAGGGTACCCTTCCTGCAGTCCAGGAAGTAAAAATGGCATTGCTGGAAGATCCTTTGATTCAGTGCTAATTTTTCTTTGCAGCACCGAGCATCTATTTCCAACAGGAACCCTAGATAGCTTCAGGATTAAGACCAAGGCCACAACCTGGACTTGCCATTGGCATCCAAAGGAAGGGGGGCCGTCTTGCGGGACTGAGCCCTCAGTGTGGGATCTGAGGCTCACCCCAGGTGAACAGGGTCGGTATGGAGCTGAATCAGAGGACACCCAGCTGCTTTCAGCTGCAGAGCTGCTTGCTGGTGGGGAGAAACCTACACACATCTAATGTCAGAAGTGTTGTGTTGGGCCGGGCGCGGTGGCTCAAGCCTGTAATCCCAGCACTTTGGGAGGCCGAGGCGGGTGGATCACGAGGTCAAGAGCTCGAGACCATCCTGGTCAACATGGTGAAACCCCGTTTCTACTAAAAATACAAAAATTAGCTGGGCATGGTGGCGCATGCCTGTAATCCCAGCTACTCAGGAGGCTGAGGCAGGAGAATTGCCTGAACCCAGGAGGCGGAGGTTGCGGTGAGCTGAGGTCGCGCCATTGCACTCCAGCCTGGGTAACAAGAGCGAAACTCCGTCCCAAAAAAAAAAAAAAAAGTGTCGTGTTGGCTGCACGACAGTAGGAAAAGCACTGTGGTTTTCCCTGTATCCTTACAACAATGAAAAAATCTCTCTGGTCTGCAGCAGCTCAAATGTTCAGGTCAACTGAAAATAAAGGACATGAGAAACAAAAGAAAAACGTACAAAATGACTTCACCGAAATTGAAAAACTGTGTGTGTCAAATCAACCAGACCGTCTCAGAGGCCCGCACTCTCGCCGCCAGCTTTGGCCAGGCCCTCTCAGCCGTGTCACTGGGGGACACTGGGCTGGATGGTTCTTTCTAGGGCAAGGGCAAGGCTGTCTGTGCACCGTGGGCTGTGGATACACCATGAGCGGGGCTGTCAGCACTGTGGGTGGGACTGTGTATTGTGGGTGGGGCTGTGCACTGTGGGCAGGACTGTCTGTACTGTAGGCGGGGCTGTGTGCACTGTGGGTCTGTCTGCACTGGGTGGGGCTGTCTGCACTGTGGGCCTGTCTGCACTGGGTGGGGCTGTCTGCACTGTGGGTGGGGCTGTCTACTGTGGGTGAGGCTGTCTG